AAGTGCCTATGGAGACCAGCTGTTGGAACTTTCCGGACCAGAGAGAAGATGGTTTCTGCCACCCCACTTTACTCCTATCTAGTTCCAGAACATTGTCATCACCCCCAAAGGAAGCTCCATGGGAAAAAATCTGGCAGTTTCTCAAAAGGTTAAACATGGAGTTCCCATATGACCCAACAATTCCACTCTAGGTGTAGACCCAAAATAATTGAAAACATACATCTATGCAAAATCTTATACACAGATGTTCATAGGAAACAGCCCAGATGTTATTCACCAGCAGAAGACTGGATAAAAAAAAGTGTGATGTTTCCATACATGGAATGTTATTCAGCCATAAAAAGGGATGATGTTCTGACACAATACTATAACATGGATGAACCTTGAAAACATGCTGAGTGAAAGGAGCCTGGCACAAAAGGCCACACAGTGTATGATTCCATTTATATGAAATGTCCAGAAGTGGCAAATCCATAGAGACAGAAAGGAGATTAATGGTTGTAAAGGGCTGGGAATAAGGGGGGACTGGAAGACGACCACTTAATGGGTATGGGGTTTCCTCTATGGGCAATGAAATGTTCTGGAACTAGATAGTGGTGATGGTTGCACAACATTGTGAATGTGTTAAGTGTTGCTAATGGTAAATTTTATGTTATGTGTGTTTTACCACAATAAAAATAATTGATCAAATGCCCTCAATATTTAACCAATAACCTTTAACTTAGCTAAATGCCTAGTAATTAAACTTCTTGAATTAAATTCCTTTCTGACTGGCATTGTTACCATGTTCTGGGCTTCACATGTAGTATTCAGGTCAGCTTGGTCCAGTCTAGCACATGTCACCCTAGGTCCCCATGCTGGGCTTTTTCTCTGGCATAGATGACAGAGCTGTTTGCCTGAGCTCTGTACCTGCAACCAAACGGGCTTGCTTGGAGACAGTTGCGGCTGCTGAGCACTGCATGGGAATCACAAAACTTACCTTGATGATTTAGGGTAATTGGTGAAGTCAGCTGTCATTTTAGTGGGGTATTACAAAAATTGAGATAAAATTCACATACCATGAGCCCTAGCTGGTGTGCCTGAGTTGGTTGAGCATCGTCCTGTGCAGCCAGAGGTTGTTGGTTGGATTCCCTCCGGAGCATATGCCTGGATTGTGGGATTAATCCTCAATAGGGGGCGTGCAGGAGGCAGCTAATCCATGATTCTCTCTCATCGATGTTTCTCTCTATCTCCCTTCCTCTTTCTCTCAAATCAATAAAAACATAATTAAATTTTTTTTTTTGCCCTGGCCGGTTTGGCTCAGCGGTTAGAGCATTGGCCTGCAGTCTGGAGAGACCCGGGTTCGGTTCCTGCTAAGGGCACGTACCTTGGTTGCAGTTTGTCCCTGGCCCTGGTTGGGTCATGTGGGTGGCAACCACTCGATGTGTCCCTTTCACATTGATCTCTCCCTCCCTTCCTCCTCCCTCCCTCCCTCCCTTCCTCTCCCACTGTATCTGAACAAAATATTGAAAAATGTCCTCGAGTGAGGATAGAAAAAAAATTTCTTTTTAATTCACATGTCATGAAATTCACCCATTTAAATTATACAGTTCAGTGGCATTTACCACATTCAGTGTTGTATAACTATCAACTCTGTTTAGTTCCAGAACGTTTTCATCACTACTATAAAAAAAAAAAAAAAAAAAAAAAAGCCCTATACCCCATTAGCAGTAACTCCCTGTTATCTACTATACCTAGTCCCTGGCAGTGAAATAATCTACTTTCTGTCTGTGTGGATTTGCCTATTCTGGACATTTTGTATAAATGGAATCATTCAGTATGTCTTTTTTGTGAGGGGGTTATTTCACTGAGCAGTCTCCCAAGGTTTATCCGTGTTGTAGCATGTGTCAGAACTTCCTTTTTTATGGCTGAATTACATTCCATTGCATGGATACACCACATTTGTTTCTCCATATTATCTGTCAATGTACACTTAAGTTGTTTCCACCTTTTGGCTACTGTGAATCATTTCTAAACATTGGCATGCAAGTATCTATCTGTTCAAGTCCCTATTTTCAATTCTCTTGGGTTTATACCTAGGAGTGAAATTGCTTGTTCGTATGGAAATTCCATGTTCAACCTTTTGAGGAACTGCCTGACTATTTTCCCATCAGCAATGTTTGTTTAAAACTGCTTTTTTGCCCTGGCCGGTTTGGCTCAGCGGTTAGAGCGTCGGCCTGTGGTCCGGAGAGACCCGGGTTCGGTTCCCGCTAAGGGCACGTACTTCGGTTGCAGTTTGTCCCCGGCCCTGGTTGGTCGTGCGGGTGGCAGCCACTCGATGTGTCCCTTCACGTCAATGTTTCTCTCTCTCTCTCTGTTCCTCTCTCTCCCTCCCACTCTACCTGAACAAAAAATGGAAAAATGTCCTCGGGTGAGGATAAAAAAAACAAACAAAAAAAAAAACTGCTTTTCTTGCCCTGGCTGGTTTGGCTCAGTGGTTAGAGCGTTGGCCTGCAGACCAATGAGTCGTGGGTTCGATTCCGGTCAAGGGCACGTACCTCCGTTGCGATTTGTCCCTGGCCCTGGCTGGGGTCATGCGGGAGGCAGCCACTCGATGTGTCCCTTTTACGTCAGTGTTTCTCTTTCTCTCTCTCCCTCCCACTCTATCTGAACAAAAGTGGTGAGGATAAAATAAATAAATAAAACTGCTTTTCTTTCCCCATGTATGGTGGACTTGTGCTATAAAGATGAGACTTACCTTATGGTGCTGGTTGGCTTCATCTGGGGAGGGATCTACCTTTGGGTGGCAAAAACTGTTTTATTTAGCTTTTTTAAACAGACAGTTTTGCCCTGGTCAGTTTTTCTCAGTGGTTAGAGCATCAGCACATGGACCAAAGGGTCACGGGTTCGATTCCCAATCAAAGGCACATACCTGGGCTGCAGGTTCGATCCCTAGCCCTGGTCAGGGTCATGTGGGAGGCAGCCAATCAATGTGTCTCTCTCACATAGATCTCTCTCTTTCTTTCCCTCTCTCCCTTCCACTCTTTCTAAAAATCAATGGAAAAATATCCTTGGGTGAGGATTAACAAACAAAACAAAACAAAAAATAGACAGTTTCTTGCATCTTCTAAAACTGGGGTATTAAGAAATATACTGGCCCTGGCCAGTTTGGCTCAGTGGTTGGAGCGTCGGCCCATGGACCAGAGAGTCCCAGGTTCGGTTCCCGCTAAGGGCATGTACCTCAGTTGCAGTTTGTCCCCGACCGCATTGGGGTCATGTGAGTGGTGGCCACTTGATGTTTCTTTCTCTCTTCTCCTCCCTCTCTCCCTCCCACTCTATCTGAAGATAAATGCAAAAAAAGAAAGAAAGAAAGAAAGAAAGAAACTGAATTCAGAGCAGGGTCACTAAATTTCACGTTCAACCACAGTAGCCTTTGAGCTGAAACACCATCACCTCTTTTGCTTCGCAAAGACCACTGAGATTCTCAGTCAGTACAGTTTGATTTCTCTCAGATCTTTAAAGGGGCCAAAGCTGGCGTCTCAGTGCTGCTGCTTTTATTGATTTGTACAGAAAAGCTTCCTTGATTCTTAGATTCTGCAGCTCACACTGAAGGTGCAAAGAATTGGAAGCATCAAGTGAATGACACTTAAGGATGGAAGCAGCTACTATAAGGAGGCCATTTCTATCCTCTGGTCCCTGACCATTGACCTGGGGAAGTAGCCACTGCCCTGACCTTGTAGTTCGTGGTACTTGGGTTCCTGGTGCAGCTCCATGGGATGGATAACTAGAAATGAAAGATGATGAGAAATAACATCTGGAATTGGCATGATGCAAACATGAGTGTAATTGGGAAAGGTCAGGATATTGCTGGGGCTCTGGAAGGTTCTCTGGAGCTCACTGTGGGAGGAACTAAACCAATTCAAGTGAAAAACTTTCAGCTGCTGTTTTCACCTGGCTTTGTAGCCTTTTTTTTCTTTTCTTTTTTTTTTTTTATCTGAAGGCCTTGGAGATTGAGTAGTTCCTCCTCCCACAGTTGTCTGGCTAGCTGTACCTGCTAGCTGTTGGTTGTTTGCTCCCCTGTATGTACAGTAGCCTTGGGTCAAATGAGCATCAGGTGCAGCCTCCCATGGCCACTTTCTACAGGATTACTGTAGGTTACTTTCATTATTAAAATACAGGCAGTTCTCGCCATCAGACCCCTTGAGATAAAATGATTTGGCTCAAAAACAAGATTCCTGTGACTCTAATTTTCTTCTGCTAGATCAAAGGAAAGATTTGGTCTGATGTTTGCGGTCTAGCAGCAGAATCACTGAATGATGTTTTGTTATCAAGAGCCTTCTCTCATGCTTCATAGATATTTAAGATTTGTGAAGACCTTTCTGCTTGAATGCAACATGTGCATTCCTGGAGGAAAAAATCTTTTGTTTTACAAATTGCACAGTAAAATATAGTTGTTAAGGGAAAAATAGGTGAGGTAGACCGTGCCAAATCTATGTGATTTGGTAACCAGAGCTCACTAACAAAACCAGTGACAATTCTGTTTAAAAAACAGAACACCAGCCCTGGCCGGTTTGGCTCAGTGGTTAGAGCGTTGGCCCGCAGTCCAGAGAGACCTGGGTTTGGTTCCCACTAAGGGCACATACCTCGGTTGCAGTTTGTCCCCAGCCCTGGTTGAGGTCGTGTAGGTGGCAACCAGTCGATGTGTCTCTCTCACGTCGATGTTTCTCTCCCCCACCCCACTCTGTCTGAAGATAAATGCAAAAAAAATAATAATGTCCTCGAGTGAGGATAAAAAACAACAACAACAACAGAACACCAGCCTGGCCGGTGAGGCTCAGTGGTTGAACATTGTCCCATGCACCAAGAGATTGCTGGTTGAATTCCTGGTCAGGGCACATGCCCAGGTTGTGGGCCCAGTCCCCAGTGGGGGACATGCAGTAGGTGGCCAGTCGATGTTCTCTCTCATTAATGTTTCTATCTCTCTCTCCCTCTCCCTTCCTCTCTCTTTAAAATCAATAAAGAGAAAAAAAAAACAAAAACAAAAAACAGACCACCAGGCCATTGAAGTCTCCATTGGCATTTGCACCCAGTATCTCCATCAGCCAACCATTTTTCACCATAACCCCGATTTGTGCTTCAGCCCACACTATGCACAGGTGAGTTGTTCCATCGACATTAAAAGTCAGGTCCTAGGCAAGGCTTCCTTCAGCAATGACTTTATTTTAAACACAGGGAAATATCTTGACACCTTCATTCACACTCACAGCTTCACCATATAGAACATAACACTGTGGAAGACATTGTGGTTTTTTCAGCCACTAAAAGAAGGCACTTGTACAAGGTTTCCAGCTTTTTCTCTTAATGTAGTTGTGTAACGTGAAGGCTTTCTCTTTAATTGTTAGAAAGCTTTCCCGAAACTGCTTTAAAATATTACTATCAACCAGCACAGCTTCCAGTTATATTGATGTCATCTCCCCACTTTTTTTTGTTGTTGTTAATCCTCACCCAAGGATATTTTTTTCCATTGAATTTTAGAGAGAGTGGAAGGGAGGGAGGAAGAGAGAGACAGACAGTAACATTGATGTGAAAGAGACACATCAATTGGTGGCACTCACAACCAGGGCCGGGGATTGAATCTGCAGCCCAGGCACATGTCCTTGACCTGGAATCAAACTTGTGACCCTTTGGTACGTGGGCCAATACTCTATCCACTGAGGTACGCTGGCCAGGGCCATCTCCCCACTTTTTAAAAAAATACATATTTTTTAATTGATTTTTTTAGAGAGAGAGGAAGGGAGAGAGCGAGAGAAACATCTATGTGAGAGAGAAACATCAGCTGCCTCCTGCACACCCACTACTGGGGATCAAGCCCACAACCCGGGCATGTTCGATGCCCTGACCGGGAATTGAACTGGGACCTCTCAGTCCATGGGACGATGCTCAATCCACTGAGCCACACTGGCTGGGCCATCTCCCCACGTTTAAACATATTTCCATTGTTGTGTGGAATAGACCCTCTCTTTAGACCCTTTTAGTTGTTTCCTCATTGCCTCTGTTACCCCTTCCTGCAAATGAGGTGGTGCTGATGCACCTATATAGTCCTCCACAGCACTTCTACAGGCTGGCCACAGTCAGTAGTACTCAGTTTGATCTCTGGTTAAGGGGCTGCTTGCCACATTTCTTCACCGAACAGGACACCTTTCCTTCCTTCCCTTATTCTTTAGCCTATGCATTCCTTAATTTCTTGCCCACCTATCTGTGTAGGTAAGAGTTTTTAAACTGTCTTCTATAACATCTTCTAGAAGATGTTCAGTCCATCCTTTTTAGTGGTTTTAGGAGGAGTATCTGTGGACCTGACCACCTCATTGCTGGAATCCAGTCTGTGGAAGCCTGGAACCCATCCTCCCAGTGTAACCGTCTCCCATACTGCTGCCCTCGTGATTCCTCCCTCCCCGTCACTGTGGATATCATTGTCTGTGGTCCTGGGTGAATGTGACACCAGAGCCATCAGTGACCACCCCAGCCTCATCTCCTGCCAACCCTAAACCACCAGTGACCACCAGGCTACTGGTAGTGCCCAAACTTGTTATTTAGTCACTCAGTGCCTGCTTGCTTTGGGTGCTAAGCTCGCCCCTGCTCCTTGAAGCTAATGGTCACAGGGATATAGCCATCAAAAGAAGCAAAGGTAGCACAGTATCTGAATTGTGATTGCCATTTGGCACATGATTATTAAGCTCTGTTTCTATGTCTTGCACTGTATGTTGAGCAGGGAGATGACAGTAAAGAAGGCACAAAATGTTTGTGGGGAGTTGCTCATCACAGTGGGATATTCGAAGTACACTGAGGGGCATAGGGTGCTCCTGCTCATGGAAGGGGGGAGGCAGGAGCAGGGAAGTCTTCTCAGAAGCACCATCTTAACCCAAATAAAGAAGGGGGAGAGGGCCCGCCCAGAGCCTCTGATCTTCCTCCCAGGGAGGGCATCATAGTGGGGACAGGATGGGGCTGTTGCTATTGCTGATCTGTCCTGCCTTGAGCCCTCCTGAGCAGCCTGTGCAACTCCTCATGAGGCTTAAAAGAAACAGGCTCAGGACTTTCTCCTCCAGGGAATCCACATCTTTGGGCTTCTCCTCTGCCTGGAACAGTGGAGAGTGTCACTGTTTCTTTATTACCTCTTTGTCTGTCACACACACACTAAACCGGGAGGTCTAGAAGACCAAATAGTGATGCTAATTCTTCCCGGGCATCCCAGCCCATAGCAGAGTCTGGTTCAGGGCAAGGACATCAATGAAAACACTTTGGCTCAACCATGACCTCAGACAAGTTTCCTTGTCTGGTTGTGCTTCCTTTTCTTCTGTGACACTGAAGAATTGAATAGGTGGTCTTTCTGCAGATAATTCCAACTCTAAAATATACAAACCTGTGAACTAGGTGCTCAGTTCTCCTCAAACTCAGAATTGCGCGCGCACACACACACACACATGATGTGATTAGAGGGAGGATAAAGAAGGTTGTTTGATTTCTTTGAAAAAGTGTATGCTTCAAATCCCATAACCTCCTGGTGTGTGTGTGTTGGAGGGATGCTTAGGGATCTGCCAGGCATCCCATCCTATCCTTTAAACTTCAGGGTTACCCTGGGCTGAGCAGGTACTAGGGCCAGGGGTAAACTCATTTGGATTACCTGTTTTGCATCATTTTTATTTAAATTTTTGTTACATGCCCCCAGCAGGAACCAAACCTGGGACTCTGGTCCACAGGCCAACGCTCCAACCGCTGAGCCAAATCAGCCAGGACTGTGTTGCATCTTTTTTTTAATCCTCACCCAAGGACATTTTCCCATTTTTTTGTTCAGATAGAGTGGGAGGGAGAGAGAAGAGAGAAAGAGAGAGAAACATCGAGTGGCTGCCACCCACACGACCCAACCAGGGCTGGGGACAAACTGCAACCGAGGTGCATGCCCTTAGTGGGAACCGAACCCGGGTCTCTCGGGACTGCAGGCCGACGCTCTAACTGCTGAGCCAAACTGACCAGGGCTGTTTTGCATCATTTTTACCTCCACACCAAGCAGAATGCCTTCTAGGCTTTGGGGCTTTTGTTATTTGTTTTTAAGTAACAAACACCTGTGTATCTCTCAATGCATAGAATTGAAGATCACCATATTGTCATAGTGGTTTCAAGTAATTTCAATTTAAAGAACTAGAATATTATAGGTAAAGTTAAAGGTCCTTTCATTTATCGCCTGGCTGGTATGGCTCAGTTGGTTGTGCGTCGTCATCCTGTGCACCAAAAGGTTGCCAGTTTGGTTCTAGGTCAGGGCACATGCCCAGGGCTACAGGCTCGATCCCTGGAAGGCAGTGTGCAGGAGGCAGCTGATCAATGTCTCGCTTTCACATTGATGTTTCTCTCTACCCTTCTTCCTCTCTAAAAAATCAATAAAAAATATTTAACAAAAAATTTTCATTTGTTCTACACTTAGGAGCAATTAAAAAGATAAATTTTATCACAATAATAAACTTTTTAAAAAACCCAAACAGTTAATTTAGGCCACGTTAGAGTTTGGGCACAGCTGGCTATCTCACTTTTGTAGCTAGTAGTCAAAGATCTATGTTCTCCTCTCCTTGAACTCCATCCTCCCAGCTTTGGCCGAGGTCCTTAACTCATCCCTGCTTCTCACTCCTACACCAGTCCATGAGCCAGCTCTGTCGCTTTACCTCATGGTCATGTCCCCAATCTTCCACTGTCCCCGTCCTGGGCCCAAACCAAAACCACTGCCAGAAGCTTCTCAGGGGTCTTCCCTGCTTTCCTCTTAGGTCTCCTGCAGTCTGTTTAACTGCGGGGGTGGGGAACATCAATACCAGCAAACATCACATGCCTCACCAAATTAGCCTGACCAAATATAGCAGGCTCATTTGATAAGTTTGTATGGCCTGCAAGTGATAAGTATCCGAATGGCCCTTGGCAGAAAAGAAGATTTCCCCACCCCTGGTTTAGAGTGATCCTTTGAAGATAAGAACCATTGTCCCTGCCCCTGCTCAGAGCTTCCTATCACACTTGGAATAAAACCCTATGAAGCCCTCCATGTCCCCATTTGAGGCCTCTCTACTGTCTGGGACCTTTTTCCCCCACATGGCCATATGACTTGCCCCTTTACTTCATTTAGGTCTTTCTCTCTTTTCTCCCCTAATATCACCACATGAATTTTTTTCTTCATTATGTTATAATAAGTTCATTCTTTAAACACTCTTCTGGTCACAGCATTGCCCAGTGCGAGGAACCCTTTCAGCCAGCACCTGTTTCCTTTTGACTCTCCCTGTTAACCTCTAAGTGCTTCCACTTTCCACCTCCACAGGCCGCCCCACAACCAGAACGACCCACTTCTCCCAGGGGCCAGCCTGGTTCCCTTTCGTGGACACTAGGCATGTTCCCTGCTCCTAGGGTGCTATCGTTGTCCTTAGAATATGTCCCACCAAGGATTTACAGAGCACTGGGGTCAAAAATATTTGAAATAAATCTTTTCTCTGAGGTATGTTATCAATTTGACATAATTATTCATTTGTTTCTGTTTGCATTCAATGTAGTAAGGTTTTGTTACCTTTTGTTTTCATTTTATTTTGGGTTATGTAAACTTTTACATGATTCAGGAGTTAAAATTATGCTCTGGTGTACCCAGAGAGGCCTCGGCAGTTCTTAGTTTCTGCTGTGTGCTTCCTAAAGTCCCCTCTTTCTTACACAAAAGGCAGCCTATGATACACATTTTTTACCTTACAGTAGATCCTGGGGATCACTCCCCGGTGGTTTGGAGCACTCTCCATGGTGCGGGTGTGCTGTCATATAGTCACTAGGTCCCTGGTGGCAGCTATCTGAGTTATCCGCAGTCTTGGGCTAGTAAAAACAGTGCTGTTGTAAATAACATCATCCTTTGTTGTTTTGCCTTTCTGGAGGGCTCTCATCAGGGTAGATTTCTAGAAGGGATTCCCCTAGATTGCATCAACACCCTTGATTGTATCTAAGAGGCATTCCTGGGTCATATGGCTTGTACTTGACCTCATGATGGTGAAAGTATTTGGGGAATACAAATGAGTTCTGAAGAAGCCAGACCTTTTCCATTGGTGCAGTGTTTTTCTCTGGCAACAGGACTGTCAACGTTCAGGGAGCAGCCCTGGACTTCAACAGTGCCACTGTGGACTGTTTGGAAGTGATGATTCCAGTCTGTCCACCACTTTGCTGCTGGCAGAGCTCCCCTTCTCCCTCAGTGATAGTGGGCCTCAGGGCACACCCACTTCCCAGGTCTTCATTTTTTGTTGAGAGGCTAAGATTGGGAGAATTGAATAGTAAGCTCTGCTGGAACAGGTTAGGAACCCCCGCTTTTACAGCAGAAAAAGGTCTCCTATGAGCCAAGGGCTAAATCTGGGTGACACTGGCAGTCATGTTCAGGGCCCTAAATTTCTGGAGAAGATCCAGGGAACTCAGGGGTAAGCTTGAGGAGGGCTGGGACACATCCTCACCATGATCTGTCTGCCCACGCCTGACTTGAGCTGTTCAGAAAAGCCATGTCTTCATGGCACCAAGTGCATCCTGATGCTAACCTGCTTTCAGTGACTTACCCATGTCATTCAAGTCTGGTTTCGAGTGCACACCACCATGCCTTCATTGAAGTCTCCACAGTGTGAACAGGAAGGGAAGTCATTTGGGATAGACCAGCCACAGGACAGTGATTGGTGTAGACGTGAGCTGTATGAGACAGGGCAGCTCTAGTGATGAGATACAAAGAATAGTCTTGCCCTTTTCTATAATGAGCTGCTAGCTGAGGGACTAGCAGATAGCAATTCTTTCTAAGCCTTCCCTGGCCTCAGTTGTGTTCTTGCTCTCTTAGCCCGGCCAAGAGAGCATTGTGGTCAGACTCTGATCCCAGGGTCCAGGGCCTCACAGTGAGCATTCCTGAAGTATACAAGGAAGGGACCCTACCAGATGGAACCAAAGTATAGGGGAAGAGCTGCTCTGTCAGTATGAAAAAATGGGGACGTGCCCACCCTGTAACCTCGGAAAGGGTGCTCCTCTGTGCCTTTTTCCTTGTTCTTTCCTTCCACCAGCAAGGCCATACCCTTGCCATGCATTATAAGGCAGTGTCTAGTGATAAAGGCTAACTCGACCTGGGATCACTTTTCTTCTTATGCCAACGCTGGGCAGCAGTTTCTGGTTGCCCAAGTTAGCCAGGATTTATATAGTGCCTTTGTGACTTTTCTTCCTCTGGGGTGTAGGTACCCATTGTTGAGATGAAGAAACAGACATGAGATGTTGAGGTCACTTGCTCAGGTCCATGTTTGAAAATGGCAAAGTCAGGATTTGAGCTCAGGTTGGTTGGCTCCAAACCTTTGTGCTCTTTCTACAGTGCTGCGCTCTGTACTACCTCCCAAGGGAGTAGTGGAACATTGTGTTCCTGTCAGCAAGTTGTACTGTGCCCCACAGCAGTTCTTTGTTGAGTACACATTTGAGAAAACCCCAAATACAGAAACTATAGTAGCACCCAAGCCAGGTCATTGAGAAGAGGAGCTCCACCCCCATGTTGGGTGGACAGCTCCCTCTCCAGCAGTCGAGTCAGCCCTCGGGTGCAGCTCATCAAGTGGCCTCTGCCAAGGCAACATGCTGAGAAGCCACAGTGTTCCTGCTCAGAAAAAATGCTATCTTGTAGCTTTACTCACTCTCCTGCACACTAGGAATGGAACTCAGGGTGGCCACAGTGCAGGTAGAATGCAGTTGGCCAACACCATCAGCAGCCCAAAGCCTCTTAAGAAATCTATAAAGGGAAGAATATCAAGACCTGGGTGAGCACAAGCAGGGCAGCCCCGGCTCCCAAAGCCCTGCCTGTGCTGGGCTGCCTTGAGCCTGCCGATGCTCACTTTTTCTGCAAACTGGTGTGTTCTCTGTGATACTTACATATTTGTTTAACACTTCAGGGAAGAAAAGTCAGAAGACCAGGATCTCCAGGGCCTCAAGGACAAACCCCTGAAGTTTAAAAAGGTGAAGAAGGATAAGAAAGAAGACAAAGAGGGCAAGCATGAGCCCCTGCAGCCGACAGCCCACCACTCTGCTGAGCCAGCAGAGGCAGGCAAAGCAGAGACCTCAGAAGGGTCAGGTTCAGCCCCAGCTGTCCCAGAAGCCTCTGCTTCCCCCAAACAGCGACGCTCCATCATTCGCGACCGGGGACCCATGTATGATGACCCCACTCTGCCTGAAGGTTGGACCCGGAAGCTTAAGCAAAGGAAGTCTGGTCGCTCCGCTGGGAAGTATGATGTGTATTTGATCAAGTAAGTAATGGCAGCTCTTGTCTCTACAGAGCTGGGAGGCCCGGGTAGGCGGGAAGTGTCAGGGACGGATGCTGAAAATGAATGGAGGTCTTTGAAGTAGGGACGGATGCTGAAAATGAATGGAGGTCTTTGAAGTAGGAGCTCGTTGCTGCAAGTTGATTTAAAAAATGTGTGTGTGGCCCTGGCCAGTTTGGCTGAGCAGTTGAGCATCAGCCTGCGGACCAGAGTGTCCCGGGTTTGGTTCCTGCTAGGGGCACGTACCACAAAAAAAAAGAAAAGAAAATGTGTGTGTGTAATCCCACCTAGGGTCGTGGAGGTGGCTTCAGTAATGAGCACTGCTTGCAGGCATGAGTAGATATGCTTGGAACGCCTATGTATGGAAGTCACTGCCCTGAGTGAGATATGCACAGGGTAACAGAGTGTGATTTACCCTGCCAGCCCTTAATGCCTCATTTGGAGATGGACTAGCAGTAGGGCCTATCCAGAGTCACAATGAGAATGCCATGAGAGATCATCTGGGAAGCCTTGAGGCCACAGGGCCTGCCATGTGCAGTGGCCTGGGCTCAGGGGGCAAGCGGAGCTCCCTAGGGTTCCTGCCATTTCCCAGCTGGAGAACATCCAGCTGAGGGGCTCTCCTTATAACCTGTTAACCTCATCTTCTTTCTGGGAGAGTGGTTCTGTGACATTGCTTCATGAACCAGAAAAAATAAAATAAGATTTCATAGAGCTCAGTCCACTATGGATTGTTCTGGGAAAGGTGGGCTCTCAGACAGGGCCTCTGGGGAAAGACACAGATAGGCCCCATGTGCCTTTCCAACTGTCCTTTTTACATTGGTCTAGCCTTCAGGGAAGGTCACTGGGTGTTGTTGTTTTTTTAATTATTTTCTTTATTGATCTTAGAGGGGGGGAGGGAGGGAGGGAGGGAGAGAGAGAGAGAGAGAGAAAGAGAGAGAGAGAGAGAGAGAGAAACATCAATCAGTTGCCTCCCGTACATGCTCAACTGGGGATCAAACCCTCAACCTGGGTATGTGCCCTGCCCCAGGAATTGAACCCCACCACCTTTCAGTGTACGGGACAATGCTCCAACCAACTGAGCCACACCAGCCAGGGCCTGGTTGTTTTCTGTTGAAACAGTAACTTTCAGGCCTGAACTTCAGAGGAAGAGTGAATAAATACATTTCAGTTCTGCCCCCTAGACAGTCCCAAAAAGGTTAGCAGTTTTCAAAGGACATTTATGGATGTTTACAACCTTGTTTGGTCCCAGCAAGTTTGGTCCCTGCAAGTCTGAAAAGGATGAGCAAAGCATTATCTTATTGACATATGAGAAAACCAATTCCCAGAGATGCTAAACAGCATGCCCAGGCTCAGACAGAGAGTGCTTTACTGGCAGGTCAGGCTCAGACACCAGCCAACAGAATGGGACCCAGACTGATAGCTAGACAGGGTCCCTAGGTCAGACTCCTTTGGGAGCCAGAGGGGGTCTCAATGGCAGGCAGGTCCTTGGGTGGGAAGCATCTAGGTGACAGCTGTGGAGCAGCTAGCACCAAGCTACTCTGGTATAGGAACAGGCCATTTAGGTAACCACCACTGCCTGGTGACCTGATTGCATCATGTGTAACCATAGCCATGTCCCTCATGTTTTAGGTCATCCTGGTTTTTCTTAAATGTGACTCTGGTTCAGTAGTGTCATCAGGCATATCAGCTACAGAACATCTTCTGCCAAAGTTCACCACCTTCTGCTCTGCCCCATTTCTGACATTGCTGTGGAAGCTTCTAATCATTTTTTTATGTCTCTCCATTTGTTCCCACAGTCCCCAGGGAAAAGCCTTTCGATCTAAAGTGGAGTTGATTGCATACTTCGAAAAGGTAGGCGACACCTCCCTGGACCCTAATGATTTTGACTTCACGGTAACTGGGAGAGGGAGCCCCTCCCGGCGAGAGCAGAAACCACCTAAGAAGCCCAAATCTCCCAAAGCTCCAGGAACTGGCAGAGGTCGGGGACGCCCCAAAGGGAGCGGCACTGCGAGACCCAAGGCTACAGCATCAGAGGGCGTGCAGGTGAAAAGGGTCCTGGAGAAAAGTCCCGGCAAGCTGCTGGTCAAGATGCCTTTTCAAGCTTCACCAGGGAGCAAGGCCGAAGGGGCTGGGGCCACCACATCAGCCCAGGTCATGGTTATCAAACGCCCCGGCAGGAAGCGAAAAGCCGAGGCCGATCCCCAGGCCATTCCCAAGAAACGGGGCCGAAAGCCAGGCAGTGTGGTGGCGGCTGCTGCCGCTGAGGCCAAGAAGAAAGCCGTGAAGGAGTCTTCCATCCGGTCTGTGCAGGAGACCGTGCTCCCTATCAAGAAGCGTAAGACCCGAGAGACAGTCAGCATTGAGGTGAAGGAGATGGTGAAGCCTCTGCTGGTGTCCACCCTCGGCGAGAAGAGTGGGAAGGGACTGAAGACCTGCAAGAGCCCTGGGCGGAAAAGCAAGGAGAGCAGCCCTAAAGGGCGCAGCAGCAGTGCCTCCTCGCCCCCTAAGAAGGAGCATCACCACCACCACCACCACTCAGAGCCCCCGAAGGCACCCACACCGCTGCTCCCACCCCCACCCCCACCCCCACCTGAGCCCCAAAGCTCCGAGGACCCCACCAGCCCCCCTGAACCCCAGGACTTGAGCAGCAGCATCTGCAAAGAGGAGAAGATGCCGAGAGGAGGCTCGCTGGAGAGCGACAGCTGCCCCAAGGAACCAGCTAAGACTCAGTCCACGGTTGCGACCTCCACCACAGCCGCAGAAAAGTACAAACACCGAGGGGAGGGAGAGCGCAAAGACATTGTTTCATCCTCCATGCCAAGGCCAAACAGAGAGGAGCCTGTGGACAGCCGGACGCCCGTGACCGAGAGAGTTAGCTGACTTTACACAGAGTGGATTGCAAAGCAAACCAACAAGAATAAAGGCAGCTGTTGTCTCTTCTCCTTATGGGTAGGGCTCTGACAAAGCTTCCCGATTAACTGAAATAAAAAATATTTTTTTTTCTTTCAGTAAACTTAGAGTTTCGTGGCTTCAGGGTGGGAGTAGTTGGAGCATTGGGGATGTTTTTCTTACCGACAAGCACAGTCAGGTTGAAGACCTAACCAGGGCCAGAAGTAGCTTTGCACTTTTCTAAACTAGGCTCCTTCAACAAGGCTTGCTGCAGATACTACTGACCAGACAAGCTGTTGACCAGGCTTCTTAGGGTATGCCTGCACCTCCTCTCTTACCCAGAACTCCCCCCCCATGTGGTCATTAAGGACAGAGAGCACTTAAGAGGACACTCCCATTTTCGGTGCCATTGGTGCCCCAGTCTCAGCTCTCCTCTCCCCCCACCCTGCCCCTAGCCTCCCAACCTGCCCCACTCCCACCCACGTTAGGACAAGAAGGTGTGAGGCAGGAGAGACAGTTGGATTCTTTAGAGAAGAAGATGGAGATGGCCAATGGCTACAGCCTGTGTGATACCATCCATGGTGGCACAAATCTGGCCCCCCTCCAGCCCCAATCTAAAACTGACAAGGACATTTCACAGGACAGAATAGTAGCACCTGTTCACTCCAGTTCTGACATGACTCGAAGGGAGTCATCCTTTGAGCTGCTGGGTGTAGACTGGCTTGAGCCAGAGGAGAGGATGGCCCAGGGCTGGTCTCCAGTGGATGGCACTAGAGAGAGGCCTTGGAGGCAGCAGGAAGAGGGGCAGGCAGGCTGGCCCAGCTCCGGACCAGCAGAGCTCATCAGGGCAGGAGGGACTCCTAGTCGCTCAGAGCAGTCTGTGACTGGCAGTTAGAGGCTCAGTGGGGCGGGGGCCAAGGGGAAGGAGGGGAGAATGTTCTTCCAAAACTTTCCAATTCTACTCCTTAGGGACAGCTTAGAACTATTTGCACTATTGAGTCTTCATGTTCCCACTTCAAAACAAACATGCTCTGAGAGCAAACTGGCTTGAATTGGTGGCACTTTGTCCCTCAAGCCACCAGATGCAATGGTGTTTAGAACTGCCTGGATCTGTAGATACCTGCGCTTGTTTTAAAGTGGGCTCAGCACATAGGGTTCCCACGAAGCTCCGAAACTCTAAGTGTTTGCTGCAATTTTATAAGGACTTCCTGATTGATTTCTCTTCTCTCCCATTTCTGCCTTCTGTCATTTCATCCTTTCAGTTCTTCCCCTCCTCCTTCCTCCTCATTCATCCCTTCTATTCCAAGCAGCCGCAGTGCCCAACTGTACCCTGAACTGATTCTGGTTAGCTCATGCCTCAGAACTCACCCGTCCTTGGCCTTCCCGCCACCAACCCGAGCCCAGCCTCACCCCATCCTCAGCCCTGAGGAAGCCCTAGGGTCTGCTGAGTCCACCTGACCCTAGCACCTCAGCCTCTCTGAAGGGCAAGAGAACAGCAAGGTCTTGGTCTCCTAGGTCAGAACCCAGACACTGAGCCTCCGCAACTTTCCACTCAAAAGAAGTGGGTGGGAGAAATCGGACCAGATTTGGATTTGAGGGATGAGGCCAAAACAGATGCCCCCCATGCTCTGCCACAGTCATCAAGGGGCCCAGCCCTGACCTTGGCCTTTGCCATGCCTGGATAGTGCAGTGCAATGTGGCAGAGCAGCAGGCGGAACAAATACAGATGCCCCCAGACCTGAGCTGGGACCAGTGCCTAGCCCCACCCCCTTTCTCTGCCCACCCAGCTCCTCTGTTAAACCATGAGTTCTTTTCTAATGGAAAACATTTGGCTTTTGCTTTCTGGAGACTGGGTACGGCCAGTGTAGCACACATTTTCACGTTTGCACCAGGGTTATGGTGTAGGGGCTTAGAGGCTTGGGTTTGCTGTGGGATCCCATTCTTTCAACCTATCTGTTCAGGAAGTCCTTATCTAGCTGCATATCTTCATCATATTGGTATATCCTTTTCTGTGTTTACAGAGATGTCTCTTATATCTAAATCTGTCCAACTGAGAAGTACCTTATCAAAGTAGCAAATGAGACAGCAGTCTAATGCTTCCAGAAACACCCACAAGCACGTCCCATGTGAGCTGCTGCCATGAACTGTCAAGTGCGTGTTGTCTCGTGTATTTCAGTTATTGTTCCCTGGCTTCCTTACTGCGGTGTAACCATGAAGGAGTGAAACATCCTAGAAACTGTCTAGCACTTCCTTGCCAGTCCTTAGTGATCAGGAACCATAGTTGACAGTTCCGATCAGTAGCTTAAGAAAAAACCGTGTCTGTCTCTTCCAGAATGGTTAGAAGCAAGGGAGTTTGCCCGTTCTGTTCGTAGAGTCATAGTTGGCCTTTCTAGCATTTTTGTATCCATTTCCTTATGCTGCAAAAGCAAGTCCCACAAGCAACCCCCTCTGCTGTCAATTTTCCGGGCTTCACTTCTGACTCCTCCCCAGGAGGGAAGGGGGGTGGGAGGAGGGTACAAGTCCTTCAGGACTCCTCTTCCTCCAAGGACAAAAGGCTCTGGATCCCACAGTGGCCTTGCACTCCTGGCATCCCCAAAAGACACCTATCCACGCAAGCTCGGCATTCAGCCAGTTTGTCATGGAGACGCCGTCCATTTTGGTTGGTCGGGTTTTTATGTATTATACCTAGTCCAGAGAAATGTGGCTCCTGGGACCAATGTCAGGAGCTGGCTGGCTTCCCCATCAGCTCATTACCATCTGGTCTTGGGAAGAGGAGTGCGGGGCCCACCAGGCCCCCCTTTCATCCATGACAGTTTATTTAGGGGCTGACTGGGCACTGTTGGTCAAGAACACAGCATTTCAAGGGTCGTTTTCTTTCTGTCTGGCCCAACCTGCAGCCCCCTAGCTCCCCAGCTTCCCCTAGAGTTCCAAAGCTACAGGCAGTGCCTGAGGCTCCTTAGGGTTTTCTCCCCCCCCCCCCCCAGCCTTTCTTCCACATTCCCGCTTCTTCCCCAAATAAAAGTATCATGAGTAAGTCACTTTTAAGTAGGCCACCTTGGTGGTTTGTCACTGTGGCAGGCAGGGGCTCTATAACTCCCATGCCACCCCTGTTCCTGGAGTCAGGTTGGCAGGAGGTTGGAGGGAAAGCCTAAGCCCTGGAATTCTTACCAGCTGTGTCCAGCCCCGTTTGGGGTGTGACCTTGATTTTGTGTATACTTGAACACCACAAAGATTGGGGCCATCTTTTATGGACAAGAATACAGAAATTCACGGATAACTTTCAGATCCCCATGGGTCTAGGTCACAGAGAGTCCTGTCTCCCCAACCATCATTCTAGTTGTTAGTTACTACCTCCTTTCTTGACAGAATTCTGTATGTCCTCGAGCTCCTCTCAAAGCCCAGCCCTGCCCTACCTGTCTGCCTGTTGGTGGGCTTGTCCTTACCAGTGGAATTGCTGGCTTTGACACTTTAGTGAACTGGGGAATTGGGTCCCAACCAGTCTCTAGTACAGTTCCCTTCTGCTGGCATAGGAGACACCTGGGAATGCCATGTCCCCAGTCCATCAGTGCCAAACTAGCAAAGGACCCCAGCCCCTCAGATCCCTGGAAAGTGAAAGTCATGGTAGTGGCCAGGTGACACTGGCCACAACCAGCACCTGGCTTCTACTGAGACCCCATGCGGGTGTGGGCAACAGTCTTTTCAATGGCATCATTCCAGGCTGGAGGCAAAAAACTGGCAGTGAAACCTGCAACAGCCCCAAGTTGTTGCCTGCTCCTCTGCCCAGCTTGTCATTGCTGTGATAGCCATCATGAAAGGGTACTAGCCAGAAATAAATTTCCATGTTCAGTGGGAAAGGAGTTTTCTTAGCTGACAGGCCCTCTGGATTTTCAGTAACTCTTAATAAGCAGCTCAAACCCAGGAGGGAGCAAAGGTTTATGAACTAAACTCACCAAGGGGCCGACTGGATCTTATGGATCATTCCCACCAGGCTCTCTGGACTGACACCTTCAGGGGATATCACAGGTACTGGTTCTTGGAGACCTTTGTGCATCCATTCCTAGCTAGTGTTGCCCTGAATTGCTTCCTGGTGTGAGTTTTGCACACAGAGTCTAGGACCAATGGCCCAGATCTCAGGAAGCAAGCTGTGGCAGAGCCCTATGTGTGTTTGCTTAGCCAGTCTCCCAAGTACCAGCCGCTGGCGTGTGGGCAAGCACAGCAGCATCACCAGGCCTGTGGTCAAGCCCCTGCTCCCGTGCCCCTGCTGTGTTTTATTCCCGCTCTTACTCTGCTTTCTGCAAGGGTCCATCTTTACTCTTGGTCAGTGAGCCCGTCCACTCTGGAGGGGTTTGTTGAGTCTCCATTTTTGTGTCTTTCTCTTTTAGATAAATCTTTAGAAAAGGCCTAATTATAAATCGCTAGGATACTGCCTCCCCCAGGGTCTGAAGTTACATATTAAAGGTGGGGGGGGGGGAGTGAACACTGAAACCCGCTCTCAACAATTCAGAACGCAAACCTAGAAAAATATTAGGCAAAAAAATTACATTTTAATATTTCTGAATGAACAAGAGCAAGCTTTTGCAAAAATTCTGATCTAAAAATACTTGGAGCTTCACCTGATGTGTGGTGAGTGCTGCAGGCAAAGGGGATTCCAGCCCAAAGCTGCGAGATCTGAGACTCAGGGCCATTCTGTCATTGAGTAGCAGTCCCTGAGGACTTGGCTCTGCCCCTGTCCTCTGGGGGAGCCTGGAGGTTAGTAACCCACCTGGTCCCAAAGCTGCAGGAGCCCAGCTCTTGGTGTGGGAAGCAGAGTGGTCACCAGGGCCTGCATCATTCTCACTCCCCAGTACCATCTGTTTCTTGCTTCGTTCTCATCTCCACAGAGCCTGCCCGAAGCTCTGATTTGTCAAGAAAAAAATTAGTTCTAACTAGAGCCCAGGTAACTATGAAGGTGATGTCTCCCCTTTGGCCTTTGCTGGTGGCACAGCCTGTTTCCTGATGACATTCCCCTGCTCTGTTCTCCTCGGGGTCTAGGGCCTGGTGAAGTGGTATTCCTTTC